ATGAAAAAATAATGACCTATTTCAACATACATGTCCTTAGTACATTTAATTTCAATTTCAAATTAATCGCTTGAACAATGACTCAACCGGTTTTTGATTGAATAACTATAAAAAGATAGGATAAACTGTCGTGTTTCTATCAGAAGAAAAATCAAAGTTAACAGCAAAAAGCTAGTAAACATCAGAAAGATGGGTATCAGCATAGAAAGATGTATTGATCTATTGAGGTAGAACGTGTGATCTTCATTGCAAGAGGTAGAGCACTCGATGGTCAAAGCTCCGGGAATTAAAACACACTGCGCGTGAAATCAATGAAAGTGGGAAGCTGAAAGATCACTGTGGAAAAAGAAAGGCAGTGATCTTACGTTCTGTGCTTCGCACCATAACGCGACCTCTTGGAAGTGCCTATTGGAAACTGATACGAATTTGGATTTTAACGTGCTGGTGTTTTTTAACTGTAGGAATACTACTGTCTGTGTTTCATAGCTTTTTATGAGGTTGCACTGGGAGCCAGTGCTTGTTATATCAAATTCGCACCATGGATTTTGTCAGAAATGTTTGATGCTTCTTGGGGTTTTCTGTTTGATACTCTGACTGTGGTTATGTTAATTGTGGTGGGGCGTCGACGTTTGAAATTCGAATTTTGAATGACGGCTGTGACGACGACGACGACGTGCGGCTGGCGGCGCGAAGACAGCGTACTGCTGAAACGGGCTCAGCGGCGGCGTCCCTTCCGTCCCCCGGCCGTTGTGAGTGCGCAGGCATCGTCGGGTGCGTCCATCGCCGTCGACCTTCTTCCACGTCAACTGCGTCGTCAAACACATTTCCGTCAGCAGGACTACATCCAGAGAAAAGGGGCCAGCTTTCGACGGACGTCGTCAGCTTCTTCGTTGGGTGTGGAAGGACCACACACACGACAACGGAGCTACGGGTCCGTCTCCAGGTCGCAGATATGGAGGGCGGCGGGGAGGGTGGACGTGCGGTGTTGACGCCGCTTGAGCTGCAGGCCGTGGCGGCGGCCGTGTCTACCGTTGTTCTTCGATGTCAGCAGGAGAGGGCACTGGGACGAATGAAGGAGCAGTTGCGCGCACGTAGAAGGAGGACATTGATGCAAGCTCCAGACGATGGCCCCGACTACGTGGCGACCTCGGAGGCTGTTGTTCAGTTGTGCTACCCGTTGGGTTGCGGAGTGATTCCTCGAGCGACGCCGAGGTGGTGGATGAAGCGCAGGACTGGAGGCACATGGGAAGACCTCAGGCAATGCGACGACGCGACAGGCGACTACTTCCGGGAGAAGCTACGCATGTAGCTGCGAGTGTTCCGGGAAATCACGGAGGCATGTGCGCCTCATCTTCAGCGGCGGGTGACGTTCTACAGAGAGCCTTTGCAGCCAGACCAGATTGTGGCGTATGCACTGTACATGTGGGCGTCAGGGGGGACGTACGAGAGCAGCACGTGCAACTTCGGGATTGGCGGAGCTTCTGGTCTGGTTGTCGTCCGCGACGTTACTGCCGCGCTGCTCCTGGTGTACGGAGAGAAAATTGTCTGCCCGGCTGGAGTTCGTAAACTCGTCGTTGTACGGGCGTTCGCTGATAAAGGGTTCCCCAATTGCCACAATTGCATTAACTGTACTCACATCTACGTGGACAAGCCGGCGAACACCCCAAGCGAGAACTACTACGACAGGAAGCGTTGTTTCTCCATCGTCGCGCAGGTTGTCGTCGACCTGGACTTGCGTGTGCTCAATGTGCACATGGGATACCCGGGTAACTGCCACGACATCAGGGTGCTCCAGTTGTCCAGCCTGTGGCAGCGCACGGAATCAGGGTCGTTGTTCCATGGTCCCCCTCTAACACTCCCGTTCGGGGTGCAGACGAACGACTACGTCCTGGCGGACAATGGCTATCCCCCTTCGGAATGGATGGTCGTCCCGTATGGAGGCGTCAATCAACATGTCGACGAGGAGTGGTTTGACAACAAGCAGAAGGTGGCGAGGGGAGCAGTGGAGAGGGCGTTCGACAGGTTGAAGGGCATGTGGCGGTTGTTTCTGTGGACGCACAAGACGAACCTAGACATGCTCCCGCAGCAGTTCACCGCCGTCTGTATATTGCACAACATACTGATCGACGTTGGAATTCCATTCGACGAGAATCTGCTATGGGAGGTTGACACTAATGGTATCCGACGACATGTGGACCTAAGGATCGAAGAGCCCCTTCAGCCTGTATCAATAATTACGTCGACAGACGAAGCATTGGCCCTGTGGGATGCTATAGCGGAACGAATTAAACACGATTGAGTCGTCCCGAATGGTGGACGACAACGCGTCGAAGTGTAGTCATTGCAGTTTGGCAGGAGGGCAGATTCGTCGTTTCGTCCCGCCTTGAATGGAGCGTTTGTGCGCGCCTTGGGGTTGGTAGTTTGTGTTCAAGTCTGTAGTTCGTAAGCATCGCAATGCGTGGTTGTGCGCGGCAGTTGTTTAGGCAGCCCAGCAATAGGCGTTTCGGTTGTGTGGTGCTGATACGACGCATTGCGGGTGTCATGTGCACCATTTTTTATGACACGTGGCGGGCGTGGTGAAGAGAGTGCAGGGTGGATCATGCGGGAGGGGCTGAAACTTGTCGCCCCTGCGTTAAATTATGATGTTTTTTTGAACAAATGGTGCTCGATTGTGTATTTTAAACTATTTTCCTTGCGATATGAAAATCCTCAATTGAAGGTAGCGGTGGCGAGGGGTAATGTGTTGTTCTTCTGTCTATTGTTATTGTGTGTTGTTCTTCCATCTATTGTTATTTCAATGCAATGAATAATCAGGAAGAAGATAAATTGTGCAATTCCATCTTCACAACAAGTGCTCTTGGACGTTGTTTGCTCATCACCATTGTGTGCATTGTCTTACTTCGATTGTTAAAACGAAAATCAAACACGGTAGTTGGTGTCATTGGGAAAAGTGCAGAAACCAACCAAACGAACAACAATCATATCAGAAAAAAACGAACATGAAATGTGTGCATGCAAACGTCGAAATCATCATTCACTCATGCCAGCGAAGTCACGAAAACAGCGGACGCATGATTAAAAAAAGGGTGCGCTCCAAGCGCGATTATGTTCTTTCACAACAAGCTGCGATGATAACAACACAAAACACGACGATTGAAATCAATTAACCCCCCCCTTGCCAAGGTGAACGCCCTGAAATGTCACTTGTCAACTCATAGGAGCGACACACTAAACAGGTGCACAACCAATGACGATTGAAGTGAATAAACCACCCTTGCCAAAGTGAACGACCTAAAACGTCGCTCGTCTACCCGCAGGAGCGACACACTGTACAAGTGTTCAACCAACGACAAGCCCGTCGCGGCCACCAACGTGTATACGCGCAGCCACAAATCTTCGAGCGTCGGCGCCGTCCCCCCTTCCACTACCCTTTCCCGCGTCGTACGTCTCACCAGCTCCGCCCCCCTACGCGTCATCTTTTCCAGCGTCGTCGTTCTCCTCCTCCAGGGGGCCCGAACCCAACCAATCCAGCCTCTTCGCATCCTCCGGCCCTGTTATGCTCGCGCCGTGCCCGAAAACGATGTCGCAGAGTGCCCATTCAGGGATGTCCTTCGGGTACTCTCCCAAGGTGGCGTTTGCCTTCCCAAGCCTCTTCGTCAGGACGTTTATGGCGCGGACGACTGATCATCGATGTTCGAAGGAGCGATGCATGGAGGCGACGAGTGTGGGCTTCGCCACCAGCTTCGCGAAGTAAAAAGCTTCATAGTGGCTGCGCAGATCGTCTCCCACCATGCGCATCAACCACATGCTCGCCACCAACAAAAGCCTGAAGCAGTCAACAACCCGCGAAAGACGGTCATGTGAGATGAACCCGCCGTCGACGTTCGCACCCATTTGCACCGCAGCGCGGAATGCATGCGTGATGCATATGATGGTGGACTCCTGGTACGCCGCCATGTCGTCGTCCTCAGGCCTGTCCTTGATGTTGGCACCCGCGAACCACAGTGGCAAGTCCATAGACAGGTCTATTGTGTGCGCGTAAACGGCCGCGCTCGACGTTACTCCACTCCTCGTCGTACCACATAGCCCGCGCAATGTCCGTCGCTACGGACTCTAGTGCGTACTGGAAAGCCAGATTGTAACCTCTGGGGCGGTTCCCGGACTTGAAGACCCATCCATGCAAGACGAGAAGAGCAATATATTCTCCACTGCCGCCGCACGGGAGATCGCTTGCTGTAGTTGTGCGGGATCGACAATCCTGGTTAGCGTCGTGCTGGATTTCGTCCTAACGACGCCCTGAGGGACAACAAGCGCTTGAAGACCGCTGGTGATGGCCACAAAATACTCTCGCGTTTCGTGGACGATGTTATACAGTCTTTGCCCCTCCTTCATCGTCCAGAAAGCTTTGTCATCAACCCACAGTCGGGCACGGTCGATCAGATCTTTCGCCATGCCTCCCCTTCGTACCCGGCTTAAAAGGGGGTCGTCATCCTCCCAATCAGCTCTGTTCTCGCCACGCGCCACCTCCCGCTCGAGAACTGGAAGCTCCTCTCTGGCCCTCGATACGGGGGCCACATCGCCTGAAGTTCCCTCACCCGCAGCACCGACTGCCTCGCCCCCAACTATGGGTGCGTCTGCCAGGACTTCCCCCCCGCCGCCTCGTTCGATGGAGCCTCCCTTGCGGACGTGGTTGAGACGGCATGGCAGGCAGACTACCCAGAGGTGGCCTTTCATCAGTCGTGCCACGTGCCCTCACTGTCGTCGCTGTGGTCACTTGTGTGACACTCCACTGACGACGTCGTTCCAACGGCTCGTCATCTTCACCCCCGAGATCAACGACGTCCTCCTTCTCTGACCGCGTTTCGCGGGCACACACGTGATGCGCCTCGGGTGGAGGCGTCAACATCCTCCTCGTAGCGTTGTGATCAGAAGAACGCTAGCGACCACTCTCCCGCACTGCAGGCACGGTCTCCTCAGCTGCTTTTTCCACCGTCGTAAAGACGTCGTCGTCGTCGCCTTCCTCTGTTGTCGCCCAACCTTGTGGTCGACGAGGAGGAACGCTTCCTGAAGCATCGTCCAAACGAACCCTCTTCGCCTTGGTGACATGCCGCCGACCTCTTTCCCGCCCTTTGGTGTCGTCAGGGACGATGTCCCACTTCTTACCACGGGCGCTAGCTCTCGTAGACATGCTTCGTGCTTCCCTCTGCAAGCGAGTTTAGCGGTTGGATCAGATGAGCGGGAATAGAAGGTCGAGCGCCGATGGAAGTCTCACCGATCTGGCAAGAACAGCGTCTCATGTACGCCGTACGGATCGCACGTGGCGAGGACTGCGTCTGCGACGACGAAGAAGAACTGTCCTTGGTGCACAGATGAGCATGACGTCCACGTGTACGAGAGGAGGACAACGACCCCAATGAGACTAATCCGCGGCGAGAAGAAGAGAAGAGTGACGCCGTCGAACCTCCACGCGGCGAGACAGATCCATGTCGATAAGGCGTGAGTCCTCCGCCGTAGAGTGCCTCAAAGACCTCACTCACCGAACATCCACGTGGCGACAAAGCTCCGTGGCGCCAATGCAAGGAGAGTGACAACGCCGAATCTCCACGTGACGAGAAGGCGAGAAGAGCGACGACGGTCATCCTCGACGACACTGAAGAAGTTCACGGTGAGGAGGCGAGAGATAGTGCAGCAGGTGCGGCGGGCTTCTGTACTGGAGACACCACAAGAAGACGACCTTTATGCAGGACGGGATGCAGACGCCTGAAGTAGACGGAGCAGATGGACCGGCCACAACGTCGCTTCTTTGGCTGGCGGCATCATCGACGGTCACACGTGCGACCGCAGCATTCCAGACCGCATATGCACACCCACCCTTCATTTGTTGTCACCGCCACCCTCCCCAAGCCACCAACAGGCCCTTCCACTCCCCTGGTGACGCGCGTCAATGCACTCGCCAAGGACAAAAGAAAAATAGAAACCAACCTTCCCCCCTGCCCACAACCTCACCCCCCCCCCCCCCCCCCCCCTCTCCCCCCCTTCACACCCCCCCACTTCCTGACCAGTGAGACCACCCCCTCTTCCACAATCCCCAACCCATAGAACCGCTTTAACACATGGCTCTGTCGCTTTGGAGATCGCAAAACACACACAAAGCACTCTCCTGGAATAAGAACAAGATCAAGAACAAAAAACAAAACAAAGGAACTGCTAATCATATGGCGACGACACGCAAAATCTAAACAACCATCAACCGGACGTCTCTCAAATCGTCGTGCACAAACATCCGTGCGAGCATCTATACACACAACAACACCCCACGCCCCCCCTCCTCACACACACACACACACACACACACACACAAACAGATCGACATCGTCGCAGTCGCAATAGACGGAGAGACAAGACACTAAAGCGACACTAAACAGTAGTGTCGTCATGACTCATGATCTCTCGCAGATGGCTTTCGCTATCTCCATAAGGGCATTGCACATCATATTGTTCGCCTCATCCACCGCAGGATAATGTTTCCTCTGCACTTCCACTTCGCTCTAAAGGATTTCGCACTGTCGGAACATCATAGAGCATTGTCGCTTCCTTCCGCTGTCCATGGAGCGTGCCATGAGCGTTTCATGTTTGTCCATGATGCCGGCGACGACCTCAAAGGTTTGTTGTCGCATGTTCTTCCTTTTCCCGGAACTGCTGACGCTCCCCGTGCTGAATGTCGAATCTTTTGTCGACCCCTGCACCTCGTCGACGAGCTCCCCTCCACCCTCACTGCCCATTGATTCCCCTCCATCCCCCACGCCTACCGGCATCTGACCCCCCCCCCGACGCCCCCGTGTTCGCCAAATTCTTTGGGTGGATCGTGTGATCCCCCCTTCGTCATGGCCTCCATCTCCTCGTACATGCTCCGGTCCATGACGAAGTTGAAGCCCTCTGATCTCTTGGCCGATGAAGCAAGCTTGAAGTAGTCCTTCCCGCCAGAGAGGTGCTGAAACTTGTGAACCTTCTTAAATTGAATTAAGTTGTCCCATTTCTTCCCGCAGTCGATGGCCTTCCTCGTGACGCCCATCTTTTGCAACCTCGACCGCACGTCCTCCCACTTCCATTCCCTGGTCCTCATGCGACCGAAATTGTGCCCCACGCCTGCGAAATACAGATCTTGATCCCTCACGAGTGCGATCGTGTCTATGACCGACCAAAAGTTTTGGGCTCCCTCGCCATCGCTCCCGCCTGTGTCGTTGTCAATTTTTATATTCCTCCGATTTCTCGGAGTGGATTCCCACTTCACACTCGCACTGCCGCTCCTCACCTTCCTCCCAAGGGGCCGAATCTCAGGCAAATCATCTGAGTCGCAATCCTCGTCACCGTCAAGTTGCACGTCAACGTCGTCAGAGTTGAGGGGCTCTTGAACAGCCGCATCGTCGGCTTCGTCGACGTGGAACCCTTGCACCCCTCCCGTTATTGTGTCCATTCCAGCTTGATGCAAGGCCTGCCTGCACTCCACCCACAACTGCCTGTCGTGGCGTTCTACGTGCGCACCTCCTGCGGACGCGTCCTCCTGTCGCTGTCGTCCACGCGGAGTCCTAAATCCGCTTCGCGACGCAGGTGATAAGCGCATCCATTCCGGACGTGCATCCATGCTGCCTCCTCCTTTGCCCTGCGTCGATGACACATTTCGATTCCCTCCGCCCTCGCGAAGCGATTGAGATAGCCCGCCGTCTCGCGGCCCGCACGGACCAACCATTTGCCTGCTCTGCGCAATCCCCATCTGGGTGGGGATTGATGATGCAAGTATGTGTCGCCACTGCTCTGCTGCTTCTCGACAACTGGAAGCTTAGATTGACCGCTGCATTGCCATCATTGTCGCACAATCCCTCGTTCACCAGTGACATGTAAGACCACGGGGTCTCCGCCCGCCTGCCACCGTAGGACTGCGTCACCGCCCAATCCTGCGTGGAACCATTTCCCAACGGCACAGTCGACGACCTGGCGTCTTCCCCCTCGTCATCCGACGGCGGCAAAGGAATCTCATGCGAAGGCAGGTGAGCATACAACGCCGGGTCGTACGCTTGCTTGGCCACAGACCCCGCAGTGCGTTGGCGATTGCTCTCTCCTGCTGTCGTGCTTGTCGGTTCCTGTTGTCGTGCTTGTCGGTCTGCCATTGGTCAGTCGTCGATCTATCCTGTCGCCGTTCTTGGAAGATCTCCTTTTGCGAGCCGCAACAGGAAGCAGGCCGACGAAACACATGTGGAAGAAGACAAGAATGACAAGCAGCACGACGACGAGGAGTAGCAAAGGCAGCCTGTGCAGCAGGCCGGCCATGTAAGGGCTGTGGAAAGGGCAGCAACTTCACGTCAGTGGTCGACCGTCCAGTGAAGAACTTCGTCGAGAGAAGAAAAATCGAGGGAAGATCTGTGTCCCGACGTGCAAGGCGTGATGACAACCGACGAAAACGACGATCTTCCAAAATAAAACTGTCATCGTCGAACACAGCGCCGGCGCGGAAAAGCATTCGAATTCCGGACCGTTTTCGACGATCTCCCAGCGCGGCAGACCGCATGACACCGGCCGGCGACGGCCGATTCGTCGGACGGAGGCCTCACGCGGACGGTGACCGTTTGGAGCCGTTGGGGTGCCGCCCAGACGGTGGAGGGCAGTGATGTCCGTGCTCCCGTTAGGCGGACCACATCTGGACCACCTTCAAACCGAAACTGTGCGTCGACGCAGGCCTTTGACGCTCCGAATTCCGCGGTTCCTTGTGCTCTGAGGGTCCTCGGGAGGTCCCTTGGGGATTAGGAGAAATTGGCTGAAGCCACAAGGACGCCACAAGGAAATTTCCTCGAGGTCCCTTGGGGATTAGGAGAAATTGGCTGAAGCCACAAGGACGCCACAAGGAAATTTCCTTGTGCTGTTTTCACATTTTTTTGGCAAATCGTCCTCGAGGACAGGTGGAACGAGCACTTCCTTGTGGATTTCGGGTCCCCAAGAAGTGTCTAACGAGGCCCAAAGTTTCTCGTTTCTGGAAACCTGTGGTGTCCAGGCCTTAGAAAAGCAACTTCAACCACCAGTACTTCCAAGTGTCCTTTTCCCGAGTGTAATTACTGCGTCCAACCCCAACCAGCATGGGCACATTTTTTTTCCTTTGGCTGGCGATGCCAGCCTCTCCGGTTTCGCATGTGTACTCCGCACTGGAACAATTTGCCTTTCAAATGTACTGGTGGTTTAAAACTAGGCTACCAGAGTGGTCCAGGGCCACTTGCCCGGCCGGGCCAAAAAGAAATTAAAAAAAATAAAATAAAAAAAATAAATAAATAATTTTTTACTTTATTTTTTATTTTAAATTTGGCAACGAATTTCGATGTGACCCTGAGGCGAATGTTGTTCAATTTACTTTTCTGCATAACATAGTTCTTTTTCGGATTTTTTTGAGTTCCTTTTTTTTTTTTTTTTTTTKYTAGGACCTTCCCTGGTCCTTGCACGGCCCGGCCATCCGGGAAAATAGGGTGAGCCGGGCGGCCCGGCTGGTAGCTTAAAAAGAATAATGCAACAAAAAAGAGAAAAAGAGGAGGCCAGGATTAAACTGTCTCCAATTCCCTTAGTAGCAGCCATGGGATCTGAGTCTTACTATCACCTACATTTGACTGCCAGTGGGCAAGCAACTCAGGCTGCTGGGTATTTCCACTTGCCAAATTTCGGGAGGTCCCTGTAGCTTACCGTTATCACAAGTACATCTCTGTTCAAACACACAAATGCGACAACAAGAGACTGTTTGCTGGATGGATGGGGTGTAGCAGAAAATTACTTGGGATTGGTTACCAATCCTCCTGGTAGCAGCTAGACCTTAGGTTGTCATGAAGGCCAGCAACTCAGGCTGTTATGTAGATCTACGTTATCTACGTGCCAAACTTTATTCTTTGTAGGTGAGTCCAGTAGCTTGTAGTCAAAAAAAAAAAAAAAAAAAAAAAAAAAGGATTATTCCATACGTTGATAATCTTGCGGTCCCTCTTGTTCTTGAAAAGGAGTCCTGCTTCGTTGTCAGCAATAACCTACACGCAAAAAACAGTGACAACATCAGCATCAGCATCAACATCTCCATCATCGCGTCGATTGAAGGTTTTTCTTTTTTCTTTTTTGTTGAAAACAGAGCTTTATGGCTCGCGCTCCATGTCCATTCTGGGGAGCTTCAGTCATTTTGCATGTCCTCACTTACCCTGTTCATGGGTTGTCATGCAAGTCCTTGAATCTTTTTGCTTGGTACCTTCCAATACCTGTCCTCCAACCAAGTTAAACCACCAGTACTTCCTAAAGTCGCGTAGCGTTAACGCTACGCAATTTTAGGAAACGTACGGGCCACTGCAGGAGCGCCCAAATTCATCCAACTAGAAACATTTCTACTCTATTTTTTTCCGCGGCCGATAGCTGGGCCAAGTACTGGTGGTTTAAGGGATGATTTGTTTGACAGTGAGTTGGTCAATTTCTCAAGGAAACATGGAGGTTTCTGGGATGAATGGATCCTTGTGCTGACAGGGTGGGGGCGCCGACTGTATGCCCAAAGACGGTAGCCTAACAGCGAAAGAGTATGAACTAGTGTATAAAGTGGGGTCGTCAGTATTGTCGGTCTACGGGAAGTTGTGCGGAGTTCGAACCATCGTGGGTCTGTCCTTGCTGACTGTTATAGGTTTCTATGAGTCTGGGTGTGGTTTGACCAGCGTGGGTCTGTCTTTGCAGTCTGGGTACAGATTTCTATGAGTCTGGGTCTGGTTTGAACCTTGGCCCTATTGTTCATTTCTTACCTTTTATCTGCGCTTATTTTTCCGCCATTTTAGTATAGAGGTGATCCTCGATCTTGGTACCTCATGACGAGTAGTACGCCCACGAAGCACGGGTACTGTGAGGCTATAGTAGGCTGTGGTTGTTTTTTCTCGAAGCGGCGTACGATCGGAGTTTGAAGTAGTGTCCTTTGAGGTGGCTGTTTATTCTTGATCTTTTTTCTACGTTTTCTTATGTTTTTTACGTTCTTTTTTTAGACATTCTAGAAGTTTGACATTTTTTTCATGCAAGATAAATAGCAGTCACCTCTCTATACTAGGCACCGACAAGACCCCTGATGAGGCTGGTAGGCGGCCAGCCGAAACCGGTCGGGTCCTCACGCCGTCGTGCCGGACGAGTTTTTTCTGTACTTCATGTTTCATCAACGTCGCGTTTGGGCTTTTGGTTGCTATCTTGCGTGTTGACTTGTCCTTCGTCTTCGTCATTTTCTATGCTCTATCTTTCCTGTCCCATCTTTCTCGTCCTCTGGTTGAAAGTCGTGTTGAAAGCGAATGTCATGATTGTCTAACAATAACATACACCACTGGGGGCTTCTGGTGCTAACCTTATGAATTGTTCTCGGTCTAATTGGGACAAAATGGCATGGGAGTCAAATAGGAGCTAATGAATCCATTTTAAGAAAAAAGCCTCCAATTAAACCACCAGTGCATCGCCCACCCATCGGTTGCGGGCCCCTCACTGCGACTTTTGGAGGCCCGAAATGGAACATCGCCCGCCTATGAAATTTATCAACAGCTGCCCGGCCGCAAAAGTTCCAGGGTCGGGGAACGCCCGGTAGTGCAACGTGGATTGAAGCCAGTGGGCCCAAGGAAAAGGGGCAAATGGACTGTGTTTTATTCCTGGTTCATCCGCCCAAGTGATTTCACATGCGCGGGCAGTACGACTGGCAAAACGTACAAAGGGTAAAAAAAGGGGGGAAACTAGCGCTCTGTCGCGGTTTCAGTTTGAAAATGCGTTTCAGTGTTGTGTCAAACCGAGGAAAACTGTGAATGTATACAACCCAGTGTTTTATTCCTGGTTCATCCGCCCAAGTAATTCCACATGCGCGGGCAGAATGACTGGCAAAACGCACAAAGGAAAAAAAAAAAAGGCGGGGGAAACTAGCACACTGTCCCGGTTTCAGTTTGAAAATGTGTTTCAATGTTGTGTCAAACCAAGGAAAATCGTGAATGTATACAACCCAGCTTTAGGGTCGGGTGGGGATGTCTTGTATTCGAACCGAGGAAAATCGTGAACGTAGACAACCCAGCTTCAGGGTCGGGTGGGGATGTCTTGTATTCGAGGGATACCTGAAGTGGTTTTTAAACTGAAATAGTGACTGTGCCCTAGCTACCCCCCCCAAAAAAGAACTGGCAAAACGTACAAAGAGCTGGCGTCAGTTGAAAGAGGCGCCTGCCTTTTTTTTGGAGACTACAGGTCCCCATGGAATTGAGGCAGGTGCCTTGTTTAACGGGCGCCTTGTTCTCAACTTGAACTTTTTTTTGCAGGTCACTTTGTGCATCTACGCCCGTTTTGAGGGCAGGTACAGGCCTGCAGGAAAAGGAGAAGGGACCGCCCTGCCTTGTTGACAGTGCACTACGCTCGGAACGAAGCATGCAAAACGAGACTGCATCTTCAGCGAGAACGTGCAAAAGGAGATTGAATCCTCCGCTAGATCATGGAAATATGCATTTCCATACTTTTTTCTTTTTTTTTTCTTTTTTTCCTTTTTTTTGGGGGGAAAGCATCTGTGGCAGCCTGCTATTGGAGGTGATACGAGCATCCTCCTATAGCAAGCCCCAGGTTATAGATGGCTCCAATCTATTTGTGGTGAGCATCACCAGCTGGAAACCGAGTCCATCGTCCCACTGGCAAGATCAGAGAAAGTATACCTGGCAGAACAGCATTGATTGCCCTCTCACGAGAGGATTGACTGCCCGCCTAATAAGCAGCCAGGTCACAGCAAGCCATATTGTTACATGCTTCGCCTGCAAACAAGGGCCATTTTCAGGCCCTGGGTCGTTTCAGCCTGAAAGCCTGAAAACAAGGGCCTACAGGCCCTGTGTCGTTTCAGCCTGAAAGCCTGAAAACAAGGGCCTACAGGCCATGTGTCGTTTCAGCCTAAAACACGGCCCTCCAGGCCCTGAGTCTTTTCAGCCTGAAACGGAGGGCCATTTTCAGGCCCTCATAAGATCGACCTGCCCTGAAACTCACGCACCAGACCAGGGTTTTAGCACAGGCCATTTTGGGCCTGTTTTCAAGACAACCTTTGTTTCAACTTCAACGCCAGGGTCTGGCACGTTTTGGCATTGGTAAGAGCAGCCTCCTGGACGGGCCAGCACTATATAAGACTGGCCCGCCGTGCAGGTTGCACGTAGTTCATAGGGATTTCCCAGGCACTTCACGTGCAGTTCAGGAGGCAGGAGGTAGTCTTCAGGATTCGGCGGCAGCACTCTGGAGGAGCGCTGCAGTAGTCGTAGTAGCGTTAGCAGTAGTCTTCAGCGCTGGGCGCTATTAGGAGCTAGAGTAGCACTGGAGAGAGATAGAGATTGGGCGGAGGCCAGGGAGACTTACCTGCAGCGCCATAGCTCCAGCTCGTCGTTGAGGTACCTGCAGCACAGTGCCATCTTCATAGGTTAGTACCTGGCACATGAGAGAGAGAGAGAGAGAGAGAGAGAGAGAGAGTTTTTCGTCTTCCTCTTCTCAGTCCACCATATCTCCCTTACCCTCTTGCTACCTGACTTCACAGCATCAGCAGACTATGAGAGAGAGGAATTGGTATTTGGATCCAGACTCGACATTGGGCTTCAGATATTTGACGAGGGATTATCTGGGACTTGTACTGAAGACTTGGTGTTGACGACATTCCTATCTTCGCCCTCTTCTTCGTCTGATCCCCTCCTCTTCGTCTGTGTATGGTCTGGACCTGGCTCATTCTTCCTGTGTGTAGCGCCAGGCCCCCTTCACACCTTGTGATGAGGATGATGTATGTTTGGTCTGCATTGCGACATTGATTGGGCTAGTCATTGGTATTCTAGTGTTCCGCTGCACTGTCTTGTACTACGTGAGAGAGGTTAGCCCCGGTCAGGTCAGGACTTATATCTAAGTCTTCCACTGCGCTCCAAGGTGCCATTT